CAACATTACCATTCAACTGGAGTCACGTTTCTGATCACCTGCTGAATCCTAAGTCCAAGGCAATTTGCCTTTCACTGCAAGAGAAAATATCTCTCTTTATGTGCTACACGCTCTCCCACTATGCACACCAGCCAGATTCTAACTTAATTTGCCATTTGGTGTTTTAAAGCTGTAGCCCATAAACCAAAACAATGAGCTGAAGCCGAAGCTGCAAAGTCTGGTGATAATTCTCTGTATATTTGGCACTACAGACAACTCCTTTCATGTACAAGTAGTCATGTGATCTACTGTTAGTATAATAAAACTGAAAAAAAAAACTATAACAGCTTTAATACGAGGCATAAACATTAATAACACAATTCACAAATCCAACATATGAAAAAAAACCTCCTCAAACAAACACAAACACTTTCTGAGTGTGGTGCAGCATTAATGTGGCTCTGCAGTTATGAGATTTCCCCGGAGACAGAGTTGATACATTACAGTGGCCAGGCAAAGAGGTTCACCTTTTTTCATCCCCTCCCTATGGAGTGGGATTAGGTGGTGCTCTCAAACTCCAACACTGTTTAATTTGTCAATGCAGACGCAGGTATCTTGTCCTCAATGGAGCTCTGAAAAGTAAGGTGCAGATTTGTACCTGCTCCACATAGACAGAGGCTTATCTAGTTGTGATTTGATAAGGTAACATGGAATGTTTCTCCAGATCAGTCATCCTGTTGTTAAGCTGCGCCTAGATGTGGGGTGGCTGAGAGTATATCACTATTGGAGATATGCTAGCACAATATACCACTATAAACCACAGTGCGAAGCTAATAGATTTATTGATTAGCCAGTATCCTACTAGTTCCCATCTACTGTGATATAGTAGATTCAGCACCTAAAATCCTGCTGTTGCAGAGGTTTGGCCAGAATTATGGGACCCATCTGCAGATGTGCCAACCTTGAAGAAAGTTTTGGTGGTCCACCTGTCAGGGATGTGGCGGGTTTAACCCCTTTTTAATCACAACAGCAGCCAGCACATTTCTCTGATAATAAACATTTGATGTTGATTTAATCACCTGCAGATCCCTGATGACTCATGTCAATATCAGTATCAGTAGTCTGGAGAGGTGGAGGCATATCTCCTGGTAACTTTCTAGAAATTTCTGTGCACTTGCCAAGTTTCATCCAGGTGTGCCGTGATGCTCATTACAATTACGGGTTTGGACTGTAATAATTAGTATCAATAATATGAAAAGTTATGTTTAACCATCTGTGACACACAAACAATATAAATTACTTTGGTGACTGATGAACAAGCAAGCTAGCATTAATGTTAGGTTAATGTTTACTTAAATCACAGTCTCACCCCCCTCAAGACCACTTACCTTTGAAGTTCAAGGAATTATCCTCACACAAGGAGCCAGCCAGCCCCTTAGTGAGGAGGGGGAACAAGAGGGATGAAATCAAGATCAAGAGTGTTACTGTCAATTTGTGGATCCTAGCTACTATCTCTTGAAATTACATTAAAGCAATGCATTATCCTTGAATTCGGCGCTATGCGATTGTACTCTTCTTCTCCTCCTTCTTTTACTTTTTTGACAGGAAGACCTATGACAATGGGTCAGATGCTCATTGACTAACATTACTGCACAATAAATCAAACTCAAAAGGTGTCACCAGCTTTTGGTGTATGTTAGAGTGACAAATCATTCCAACATTTTGAGATCAAAATGCAAAAGCATACAGGTAGGCAAGTCTGCATTTGTATTCCCAACCAGACCAAGCAGATGTCTTTTCTTTATACCATCTCTCTTTCCCCACCACTAGTTGTACCTTCCTTTGGCCCTCCCTTCAAACCACCTGCTGTTTGGCAGTTTAACACATCCTCTGCACTCCTAATCTTCCAATAATTAGCCGATATTAAAACTGGATTTCTCACTTATTCTCCACAATAATCACCAATGAAGGCATACAAATCTGTGCACATACACAAAAAAAGGACTGATATTAATTTACTTGCAAGTGTGTGTGTGTGTGTGTGTGTGTGTGTGCCTTATCCCCCATTTAATCTGCTGGTTGTATCATTTTGTTCTTAGACTGACAGTGCTCTAACTGCAGTGATAATGAATAGGCTACAGTGAGTCTTTGCTGACTTGCAGCAGCAGGCTAATTAGATTAGCAAAACCACTGAGGGTCTGTTAACGGCACAAGGCCCTCTATGAAGCAGAACAAGATGAAAACAAAAATGGGACTGGGGCATCCATGTGGCTCTTATCTGCAAAATAAAGCTGACAATATTCATAAGTACAAGTAAGTATAAATAAATAGTTCTCTTCTCAGTGAGTTTGAGATGAAAATGTTTGGGATAGTATAGTATTATAATGCTGCTGCAGCAACGGCGTCCTTCATGGCCTCACCTTCTTTGAATTTACTGATATTTCAGAGTTGTTGTACAGACTGGTTGATTAAAGTTTGCACAGTATCTCCTCTCAGAGGACAATTCTCTCTCCATCATCCAATCATACACTATGTTCACACATAGCTTATTAAATGCCAGAAGAACACTGAGCTTGGGCAAACTGCTACTATACTCAGATTTATTGAAACAGCTCCCATGTTCAGCTCATTTCATTTGACAAGTTTCACTTTGGTAACACTCATTATGACAGTAATTCAACCCTGCAATACCTTGACAAAAACAGACCTGTGACTACTACATTAACAAAACAGGTGCATCAGCAGACCTTTCCAATGTTGTGCTGATCCTCACATCTAAATGCAACATTTCTATCTACACTAAAACAAATGTGGAAGCATCAAAACAGAGTTAATGGATACATGGTGCTGATTCAGCACTTCAAGTACAAGGTGCACCTTGTCCTGTTCTGACAGTGGACAGAGACAATGTGGACAAAAAGAGCAACACCATCCCACCAGAGGTGGAGAAACTATCAAAAATCATCCAGGTTGATCAAAAGATGTTCAAACATTAACAAATGATAGAGCTTGAAAAAGACCATTAAAACATGAGTGTGTGATTTTATATAGTGTGTTTTAGTGAAAGACAGGGAGCACATGTGTACTTGACTGAGCACTGTATTTTCGGCATTGTGATCACACTGCCATCAAAAGGCAATCATGAGTTTGTGTTTTCAACATTGGGGAGCCTACTGCATGATATACTTGACTTTCTAGAAGTTAGACATATTAGAAATGATTCATTAGACAAAAGAAAACAAAAACCGATGCAATTCATCTCCACTTTGTTCACCTTCTCCAAGCAAACAATGATTTTCTGATTGATGCAATTTAACTCCGTGAAATAAACAGGAGAACAAGCCAAAAGCAGGCTCTGCTTCTCTGTTCTCAATGCCACTACACTTATCTACACAAATATTTAGACTGGACTTTTATTTTGTTCATGTTATGAACAATATGGCATTATTGGTGCTACCTGAAAACAATGGAGCACTAAAGCCGTTGATGTATTTGCTTTGCTTTGTAACGCATACATGTAGACAACAGCTATGACAGCATCTTTTTTTTTTTTATCTTAGATTCTTTGTATTTATCTGGAGGACTAAAAGCTACATCCAGTAAGAGGCAGAGTGAGGCCTGGCAGAAAACAACTTCTTCCCTTCAATTTCTGCTTTTGCGCAACGTAAACAGAAACCATGGCAACACTTGAGAAAGTTATAGTATTGCCGATGTTGAGATCATGTTGATATTGTAGGTGGTGTCATCGGGACAAGCTCTGTGTATTTTTGCTCAAAGCTTTCCGTTATTGTTTTTGTGTCCTTACTTTCTCCCTCAAAAGCCAGAAAAGGATTTACACAACTTTCCCCCACCACACATGCACTGGTACGCCCCCAGACCTGTAAACGCACTTCGATTGGCAAAATCCATGGACTTCCCCTTTAAATACTTCACCACAAACATGTCAGGTTAAAATCCAATATATATGTTTTGCTTCGTCTTAGTCTTATATTTGTGGGATAGAAATTTAAATAAATTTTCCACTGACAAACAACTACTAAACCAATACAAAAACAACTGCTGAAAAAAATGTGACTATAAATGGCATCAAAGGTATACTCTAAACAAAAATATGAAAAGCGAAGCCAACAAACTCAACAGTAGTAACACAGCCAGAACATACAAGCTACACCACAAGCCATGCACAACCTTCGCAGACAGGCATTTCTCTGCCATTTCTCCTTCAGTCAGTCTCTGACTCTGAGGCCACAGTAGAAAAAGCAAAAAGAACAGAAATACAAAAAAAAAAAGACAGTTTCAAAGGCAGTTTGACAGTTTGCAGCTTCTGCATTACCACAGAGAAAACATCTTCCATGGTTCAGGCATGTCAAGGGAGTACGCAAGGAAGTGCTGGCACAGAAGTCCCCAAACCCACAGCCAGCCAAACAGAAAAGAAGATATCAGAGCAATCAGACAGTCAACTCCTTGGGGAAAGAGAAATGGATATAACTTTTCCTGCTGTGGAGGGTTTGTAGTGATGCTCAACCAAAAGCCCAAATGTAATCATTGCATTCCATGTTATTGAATGACCATGCTACTTTCCAAAGCTTTTTCTTCTTACTCTGCAAAAGCTTTAGTTATCTTTCTTACACCAGCATTCATTTAACAAGTGTGGTGGTGGCAATTTCATAATTACCCTGTGCATTAGATTTGCTAATACTTTTGTATGAAGACCGAGAAAGCTCTGAGAGTCAGCTATAACCCAATGTTATGACAGCTTGTATACTGTGATTTAAAGCCTTATAACTCAAAGCAGGTACGGCACAGGAGAATAGCCACCTAAGACATAATGAAATGAAGCAATTTGTCATGTCAGCAGGACACAATATATCTGCAACCTTTAGTTGATGTTTAGACTAGGGTAAATGGCAGTAAAGACAACATGTAAAGGAGATGTACAGGGCGGAAACATTGGAGTGTTTTTACGTTGGCAGAGTTGGTACATAACTTCCAGCAAACACAGCCAAAGAAGACTGACTTACAGAAGAGAAGTTGTGAGCTCTGCAGGGCTCTCCTCTGTATTTGCATGACAGGAGCATGTCATCCAGCTGGTGACTCAGTCTGTCCATAAACTCTAGATTGGTTCCCTCAAAGTTTCTGGGTGGCAGAAAAAGCTTGAAGTCTGACAGCTTTCTGAACCAGGCCCGACGGTCCTCCTGAAGCAAGTCCAGAACCATGGGTCTCACTGTCCGGTTCGCCAGCAGCAGGCCCAGCCAGTGGCCAGCAAAATAGAGGTCGCTCTTGGTGAGCTTGTAAAGGCGGATGGGGTTGTTGTTGCAGATAGTGACTGTAGGGAAGGCCAGTTCTTTGGCCCACTCGGTGTGGACCCGTGTGTAAGTAGGGAAGGAAAGCCAGTGAAGTAGGCGGTTAGAGGACCAAGATAAAAGAAGCCCCAGGGAGGTGCATAGGGCCAGCAGCCAGAAGGCCCTGCGACCCACCGACCCACCAGGGGTACAAACATGTCTCAGGCCATGCATGCGTGTCCTTGACAGCAGAGTGGTAGTGGCCTGAGCCAGAGTTGGCTTTGTAGGACGCCGCTGACGGCCCTTTCTGATCATGGCCGGGGATCCCCGCCGGAGACAGCGCCCCTCCAGGGCCATGGCTGCCCACAGCGCTCCTACAGCCACAGGAAAGGCTTCATTTTCCAGCCAGGCCTCAGGGGCTGGGGCACACATGTAGCTCCAGGATAAATCCACTACTATAATCCAATCCTGGATTATATATTTGGCCTTACTTACACTAATAACCCATGCAGTCTTAACTGTAAAAGTATTATATGCACACGTAGAAGTAGCCTCAAAGAAATCTGTGTGTTCTGAAGTCGTCTTCTCCTGGTGGTGCAGGAGATGTGTTGTACTCAGAAGCAGCTACTTGTTGGTCATCTCTCCTGGTCTCTTGATAAGACACTGCTCCAATCATCCAAGTCAGCCAGGGAAGAGACAAAAAAAAAAAATCACAAAGGCAAATGTGCTCCAAGCAAGGTGGCTTCTACGTGAGTGACTCCAGCATCCACTGCAGTTAGTGTGACAGTGAACGAGAGGATGAGACAGAGAGAGCAAAGGCAAGAGGAAGAGGGAGGGGAAGAGAGAGGGAGAGAGGAGGATAGAATACAAAATACCAAGAGCTAAGTGAAGAGAGCAAATGAAAATGAAACAAATGAAAGAAGAGAAGGTAATTAAAATAATGAGACAACCGTGGAGGGAACTGGTTGGTGTGGTACAGTCTGTCATAGGAGAGCTCGTCTTGTTCCAGCACTGTGGTTTCTCTTCTTCTGAGTTATGTCTGTGTGGTGCTTTTGGCTTCACTGGCTGGCAGATGCATTCGGCAGCCAGAGGCAGCAATCAGTTCCTTGTCGTTATTAAGTACAAGCCGTAACTGAATTCACAAAGGTCTTCCATGCTCATCTGTTTCTTGTCCCACTTTGCGGTCTCACTTTTGATGCCTTGACTTCCTTGTGATGTCACTGGTCGGCTCCTCGTCTCTCCCGCCACTTGGCTTTATTCTGTGTTATTAGGTACTGAGGGTGACCACGGGGTAAAGTCATCTTGTTGTGGACCTGCTCCCCAGCACCACAGCCACAGTTTGAAACTACAACACACTTTCATATGGAGAAGAAGGCACTAATGTGCATACACATATATAAATTCACATTTCCTGCGGGAAACCAAACCAGAGATAATCTGTTCTGTCACACTCAGATCTTAACATAACCCTCCCCTCTTACTTTCTCTTCTTCTTCCTTCCTTCCTAGTTTTTTCTCCTCCACTGAAAGACAGCATCTCTAATCTTTTTCCTTTCATGTCCCTGCTCCTCCTTCAAAATATACTCTGTAAATCAAATCCATCAACTTGCTCTCATGCTCCTCCTCCTCTTCACTCGCGCCAGTCAAGTCCCGTAAGCTAGACCTCCTGTCGGGCTCCCTCTAGTCCTTCTTTTTCACTTTCTGCATGCACTTCCTTTCTTCTCTCTTCCGTCAGGGAAGGCTTCTTTGTACGCTTTCCTCCTTCTGTGTTCTCGTCAGTTTCATCCGGCGTGCTCCTACTCCCTGGTCCAAATGACTTCTCTCCCCCTCAGTTATCTGTTTCCCACCCCTCCCTTTCCCGCGGTCTCTCGCGTTGTGCTCCTCTGTTTTGCACCAGTTTTTCAGGCGGCTTGTTCCGCCGGTTGCACCTCTTCTCTTCCTCCTGCACCACAGCTCTGTCCATGCAGCCTGTGAGCCCGTCACTGATGAGAATGCCTGTCTCTCTCTGTGTTAACTCGCGCCGTCCTTCGCCCCCCTCTGCTGCCACTGAGTCACACAGCTACAGCGCAATGGCAGACTGCTCTGTGCATGTAGTTGAAGGCTTGTGTGCAGCAGTGAGGAACAGCTAGACACAGGCTCGTTCCTACACTTTTAGCAACTCCAGTTTTTTCTTTTTATCACAATAATGGAGATTTGAAATATGTTTGTGATATAGAGTAGGTGAATAAATGGGATTTGGTAATTTAGTATAAATCTCCTCAGTCTTCCTTCTTTTCTATGGGCAAGTGTGCTGTTTCACGTTTGTCCAATTATCCCTTCTGTAGAGGTAAAGAAGACAGCAGTCGACAACAGACATAAAGAGGGGAGTTAGGGTGTATAGAACCAAAGTCAAAATTCAAAGCAATAAAAAAGATTAGCACACCCAAATCAGATGAGATGTTCAAAGATGTTTGCAGTTATGTAGTTTGGGGAATAATGTGAGCAGATGCTTCAGCTATTTTCAATGTGCACTGGTCCTTTAATCACTGATACAAATTTGATTTAATTGGACTGTAAAACAAACCAGTGATCTCTGAGCTAGATTCACTGTAAGTGAGAACTCGGCATGGTTCGTTTTGTTTTTCTTGAGGCTTTAGGTGATAGTCTCTATGATGGTCACTCACTTTATCCAATGCCTTTCAAAGCCACTTGTCTGGGTAAGAGTGGAATTGAATTGGTTTGTCTCTGGAGCTCTTTCTCTGTATTGCAAATCCTGTTTATTCTACTGTAGATAGCTGGCTTCCTAGTAAACATGCTTTAATGTAGATGGGTGAGAGGTAGATTTTCCATAGACTGTTGATTTGGACAATGTACATCTAGAAAGTGAATATAACTTTTACTTTTTTCCATTGTAAAAGAAACAGATTACACCTTTTAAAAAAGTCAAAAAGTTGTTTTTTAGTCTGTCAACTAGTCAAAACTGTGTCTTTAAAAAAAGCAGGGTATATTTCTCCAAAGCAAAATTTAACAGTGCAAAGGAAAACATTACTGGAATTCTGTCAATTATCTCTATTTAGTTTTTGAAGAACTCTACCTAATATGTTTGATTTTAGGTAAAGATTTGGCTCATGCACAACCATTCATACACTAACAAATACAACGTGATGGAAGAGTTCTAATGAATGTCCAAAACATCTCACCCATTACGAACAAAGGTTTGAGCATAGATCAGTCATTAGATGTGCAAATATGACCTCTCCTGCTAATCACCATTTCACTTAGTGCAGCCACTCTGTTTATCAACTTAGGTGTGTTGGTAAAGTGGTGCAACCATGCAAAGTACTTCATGTTGGGTCCCAAGTCTTTCATAATAAAATTTAAGATCAACTCAACTAAAGAAAATTTTTGGTTTAAGCTGTAAAATTTAAAAGAATATAAAGTCAAAATTCAAAGCAATATATATCTCATTATATTTGTAGTCTTTCATTATAAAATGTCATATCTCTTAACATATTAACAATATTGTTCAATGTTTTGTTAAACTGTGCACAGAAATGATTCATTCTAGTCCACTGTTTTTAGCCCTGCGACTCATTTTTGTAGTTTTGTAGATTTTGTAAAGTTATGGGGCGTTGTGATCTACGGAAGCAGCAAATGGGGTAAAAAAAAAAAAAAAAAAAAAACATACAGCCAAGGTTACATGATGGAAAGTGAGCAAAGGAAAATAACTGCCACTGACTACAAGTGCTAATTTATTTTCCATAAAACCTGCATCAGAGCAGTATTTCAGCAAGGAGCAGAAAGACATCTCCCTCCAAACACTGAACCTGGAAATTAAACCAGTCAAGCCTGCCTCCCTTTGTGCAGAACAAAGTTTGAACCCAAAATGTTTTGCCATCTGCATCTCTCTTCTACATTTTTCCATGTTTTGTCTTAAATTCTTTTTTTTATCTAAATCATATGCCCATATCACTAAAAGTTTTCTTATTTTTCTTATTCAATTTGATCATGATTTTTGAATCTTTTTCGTGTAAACAGCAGTAAGTGTTAGTGCACCAGTCTGTGAGCAGTCTTCAGCCAAATATGTAGACAAAGCTTTTATTTTTATTTTATTTAAGCCAAGTCGTTAAGCTCTTAAGATACATCACAACAATTCAGCAATGATAAGATCAAATTAGATGTGGTTTCCTTCTAAACATCTCTAAAACATCACACACACAGACCTCTGCGTCTGGAACAGCGACCACGACCGCAAACCAAGAAGCAGTTCAACAAGAAGAGCAAGTCGACCAAGCAGGCAACGACCGATCTTTAGTGGCGCTGGCAGCCCCAATGAGCCCTGGAACTCTTGCCCACCAGTCCCTACACTAACACAGAAAGGGTCCCAACAAAGACTGCTTTGAACAAAGACAGGCCATGTGAAGACATAGCCTGGCTAACAAGATGGTTAAGCTGGTGTCTCATAAACCATAGTCGCTCCTAATTTAAAGCCTATAACTCACAGAAACATAGTTATTTTATCCCTCCAAATTACTGCCTAAATCATAAGACTTAGTTCCAAAAACTAATGTGATTTAGGTATAATTTAAATTCCCCACCATCGCTAACAACAGACCATCCTTTCCCTTAGCTTTCTTTTTGTTCAGCGGAACCATTTCATGCATTTTACATCTCAATTCCCTTCTCCCTTCTTGTACATATGTAAATAAAGCTATTTAGCTTATAACAGGCTATTTCTTATGTCATCTTTTCTCTTTTATGGATAAACTGGTCAGTGAACCGAGAACTTTAATACTTCAGATAAGACTGAATTAATTAATCACTTGTATACTGTGTAGCTCAAAAGCTTGGTGCCCTGATTATTACAAGGTATTAAATATTAAATTCATAGTCCTAAATTGTAGTAATTTCTGCTACAGTTAAAATGCTGGGTTTTATACAATTCAAGCTTTTACTCATTAGCATTCATCAGTGTTTCTATGCCAATCACAAAGGACAGCATTTTCTCTCAGTGTGATAAAAGGTATTTTTATTTATTTTACTTTATTTTAAAATTGAACTCACCTAAACTGCACTCACTTTCTTCAGAAAAAGATAGGGCAGAATAAAACTGATTGAAATCCTAGCTCCTCTATTTTTTGTCACAGCCTGCACTGTAGCAGCTCTGAATCATAACCACAAACATCTGATAATTTTTGCAGTTTGTCAGTCCAACAGAAGTGAGCAGGGAAAACAAGTGACACCATGAACTGGCTTAATAAGACAGGAGAGAACAACCCAGGTAGCTGCTTAACTTCTCAGGTACAGTATGTATTAACTCAAGTCTCTCCTCATAGGTAACCATAAAGGCATTTTCATATAGGACACAGTGGCTGCTGCACTCCGCTATCAAACCCATTCAATTCTATGTGTTGCATGGTGCAAGAATGTATCTGTGCTGCACAGAGCAAGTGCAAGGTCATGCGTGCCGTCCCTGCTCGCTGCGCTGAAGTTATAAAAAGTTCAACTTGGGTGCAGTGCTCTGTGACGGCACTTCGATGTGTCTAATTGCAGAGAACCTGAGGGACCACTTAGAAAATGAAGGAGAAGCTGATTTTAGTGGACCCACACCTCCTTCTTCGTTGCAGCAACTGTTCGCCTCCTCCTCATCAATACAACTTAAAGCCAGAGCTTTTTGCTGATATGTAAATACATACGTAGTGCATCCAAATCCGTTGCTTGAAAAACTAGTTAATATCTGCTAACCACTCCCAGAAAGCTTTTTGGTCTACTAGCAACTGGTGTCCAACATATGCATGATTTGCGCGTGCGCCCTCCGCCCTCGTACTGCGCCCAACCCCCCCCCAGCAAGCGCAGCGCATACCACGTTCTGTCTAAAAACGGCTTAACGCAGACGTAAGGAAAACAGAATCTCAGATAAGTTACTTTTCCTCACAGGGGAATTTCAATGTCACAGCTAAGTATATCTCGTCACAGGTGACTCCATTACCAAAGGAAACAGAAAATCTAAAGTTTGCTCCGCCACTGAATTAACATGGACTGAGGTGATTGGTAATAGTCTTAGTTCCCAGGAGATAACACAGGAGTTCTGGTGCTGAGTGTTTCTAGTAACAGCTTGGTTACTGCGAGAATTGTTCAAGGAGGGAGGGAGGGAGTCACACCAGACAATAAGATGTGGTACCAGATAATGGGTCCATGAACGATGAAGAAACAGGTGGAAATGCCAACAAGAGCTACTGCTGGCATGTCAACTGCTGTGGCAACAAAGACCAAGATGAAAGAAATGACCAGCGCATGGCATGAAAGGCTAAACCAGGCTGATGAGGATGGGCAGAGATGTCGTGAAGGGCATGTGAGACAAAACGAAGGTGAAGGAGATGGACCAGAGCAAACGTAAAGAGCATGGAAGACAAAACACTCTGACAACCAGCTGAGGAGTGAGAGGTATTAATACATGGAAATGCCAGGCAGAGACAATGAGCAACAGGTGAGTGTAATTAAGGTAATCATAGGCACAGTGAAGCTGGGGTAGATGACAGAGGAAATATGTCAAAATAAAAGCATGAAATACTGAACGTTGGCAGAAATTGTGGCTCAGTCAACATGACTAACCACATTATTATAAAACTCTTATGTAACAATACAGGACAAGCTGCTGAAACATCAATGCAGTGTACGGGCTTGACATTATTTTGACTTGAACACATACTGCTTTTCATTGTTTGGCTCAATGTTTGACAACACTGCCTGACAACTCCCTGTGATCGCATCTCTGAATATGTCATAAAAAAGACATAACTCAGAAGCTATAAAGCCCACACATGAGACTCAGAAAACCTTTCACACTGTCAAATTGACACAGAAACCCAAAGCAGCATGTGCACACAGGCCTGCGCATTATATGCAGAGACAATGAAACACGTCTTTCACCACAGCACAACGGAGACAGTGAAAATGTTCAGAATAAAACACACTGGCCAGAATGCAAACAATAGGAGCGCAGTACTGAAATGTCAAATGCATGCACATACACTTATTCCTGT